CAATGCCCTTCGACATGGCACTCAACTGTCAGACGGGCCTGATTCTAACTGACAAGGTCCGTACAAAATCCTCAGCTTCAGAATCACCAACAGTCCACACGAGGGTGAGGACTTTGACAAGATCCCTCAAAAAAGTACCTTTTCCCCAAAAATTTTCCACTGACGGACCCGCGAACAATGCATCCTTACGTCTGAGCATCTTAGTTACACCATTACGTGAATCTCCTCGACGTTCACGTGGTCCTATGGGAAAGAAGAAAAAAAGTAAAAGGCAAAGGATATTTTTTGAATGTTGTCCTTCTCGCTTCTCTTGAAGCACAACATTCGACGGGGCAAGCTGTTTGAATGCATTTTTCAACACCTTGGTCCCTAATAGGAAGCAGGTCAATAAAGCTTACAAACAGTGGAAATTTCGATAGTCTCAGAATTGCCCTAGAATTGGTCAGGATCTTCATCAACACTTCAAAAGACCACCTGCCAAGGTTCATCACCATCAAACATGTCTAAGGCAGTGAACATAAAGAAACAATTTCAGCAAAATCGGTGTCTTGCACCTTGAAATGGACCCCGTAACTAGAGCCATACTTTTGGTGCGTCAAACAGCTATGGGACCATTGCCATTAGATTTGGAATGGTTGAAAACCCTAGTGGGTCAAATTTCGGCTTAATCGAGTACTCCAAGGCAAATTTATGGGCAAAAGATTAAAAAGGCGTAGGTTGCACACTATTCTCATGTGGCCTCACTGCACAAAAACATCATTAAAGATGGCTTTTTTCACAATCAGGGGTAGTGACTTTCAAGGCTCATATCTCACTCGTTTTGAGTCGGATCGTGCTCAAATTTTGTGAACGTGTTCGTCTCATCGAGACGAGCATTTCGATATGTGGCCTCGAGACAACGCTCAAGCAGGGAGAAAAATTATAGGGAAGTTGCTGATCCATGAAGAAAGTTACAGAAAATTCAACAGCAACACGCCTCATTCAAGCAACCAAATCACGACGCTCGCATATCCGATCAGCACGAAACCAATTGCATTATGTGCGTGAGGTCTGAGGATATCTCTGGTCCGAACATTACATACGGTGAACGGTTGGATTTCACACATGAAGGCATCAAAGCTGCAGTAAACTTTAGCCGCTGAATTTCAAAATTCCGGTTAAAAACTCAAGACGACAAAATCTTCATCTGAACACGAAATCAAGCTGTGTTTGTTGAAAAGTGATCATGACGGCATGCTCAGTGTGATTCAGCGAAGAAATTAAAGAAAAATATCAAGGAACGAGAAACAATCGATCCAAAGTTTTCAAGATTCCTCCAAAATTCAAGTCTCACGATCATGGTGCAAAAACATGATTCATAGCTCGAAGTTGGTATCAAAACGATCGTTATGTCGAACCCTATAAGAAAACAATAATCTTTTGTTCAAACGGGCATCAGAACAACCCCGGGTCAGTCATGGAAGATCACACAAGTTCTCGGGCAGCAGCAAGGACTGTTCTTGAATTCCACACATTGTTAGGTAGGGGCAAAACAGTCCTTTTGCACCTATTTTAAAAATTTCTTTTAATTCAATTAAATTGTAATTATCTTCAATTCTAGGTAGTTTTTTTGGCATACACCCATATTTTAGCCCAATTCTATATAACAGGCAATACCTCATTGTACAAAGATCGGATTCCTTTTCTTGGATCAATCAATAAAGTTCTGAATTTTTCTTAAGCTCATGGGTATGTCTTGGAGAGAGAGAGAGAGAGGAGAGAAAAGAAAAGGGTCGGTACATTTCGAGAAGGTAACTTTCTCTCTCCTCCCCTCTTCTCTCTCTTCTTCTCCTCTCTATCTATATCTCTCTCTTTCTCTCTCTACTTCTCGTCTCTATCTCGTTCTCTCTTTCTCTTTCTTCTTCTCATCTCTTTCTCTCTCTTCTTCTCATCTCTATCTCTCTCTTTCGTCTATTACAGTCGACGAAGCCTAAGCGTCGATTGGATTTCTCTCTCTCTCTTCTGCCATAGTCGGTGAAGCCTAGTGCCGACTGGATTTCTCTCTCTCTCTTTCTTCTGTCACAATCGGCACAAGCCTTGTGTCAGCTGGGTTTCTCTCTCTTTCTTCTCTTCTGTCACAGTCGTCAAAGCCTACCACCAGTTGGATTTCTCTCTCTCTCTTCTATCACAATCGGTGAAGCTTAGCGTTGGCTGGATTTCTCTCTCTCTCTTCTATCACAGTTAGTGAAGCCTAGAGCCAGCTAGATTTCTCTATTTCTTTCTTCTGTCACAGCCGGTGCAAGCCTAGCATTGGCTGGGTTTCTCTCTCTTTCTTCTCTTCCGTCACAGTCGACGAAGTCTAGCGCCAACTGGATTTCTATCTCTTTTATCTCACAATTGGCGAAGCTTAGCGCCGACTAAATTTCTTTCTCTCTCTATTCTGTCACAGTCGATGAAGCCTAATATCGGTTGGATTTACCTCTCTCTCTTTCTTTTGTCACAACCAGTGTAGGCCTAGCACTGGGTGGGTTCTCTCTCAACCAGCCCAAGCCTGGCAAGGCTAGGTTTCTCTAGATTGGACGAATCAACAATTAAGATTGTCTGGATCTGCAATTTGGTAAAATACATAATAACATGATATATAACATATATTTATCAAAATATGGTCATAAGTGCTTCAACACAACATGTTAGCTAGACTTCGCGCCTTAGAAGCGCAAGGTCAGGGCATGTATCCCCATTATTTTGTTTTTCTTCTAACTTTCAAAAAGGGCTCTTAAAAAACAGAGCTCTTTAAAATTATTGAAAAGGAGAATCGGATATAACAACTTAGCTGCTAATATTAGACTCTATGTAAAATCAAAACTAGGGCGGTTTAAAATAGCAGTAGTAAACCTCTCGTAAAATACGAGTACATGCTAGCCAAATGAGACATTTTATGTTATTTTCTTTACTACACGGCCACATTATATGGATATGTTAATAGAATTGCTGATTCTAATCGGTAGTAGACAGTCTCTGCCCCGGTCTAGATCAGCAATTTCTGATCTGAATCGGTATGTTTCAAAGCTAGTTAGAACTTCCACCAACAGTTACAACTTTACTGATTAGGGAAGTTGAATTTTGAAATAATATCACTACCAGTTGCCAACTTATTTAAATCTGTAAAGAATTATGCTGAAGAGATGTTTTCTAGTGTCAAGTCCAACTTAAAAAATTTCTGATAGTTAGTGATTTAAAAGTTGGAGACTTATTAGATTCGAACTCAGGTGAAGATAAGCCCAATAAATTCGCCATCAGTTTTATCAATCATCATAAAGGTGAATCCCAATGATAGTGCAAACATAGCCCTTATGGCCATTGGTATCCATTAAGATGATGGATGGTGAGGGATAGAGGGTCGGCCCAATTTCCACCAAAAGTCCCTCGTTTATGAACAGGGATGACCTTGAGGACTATGATCAGTCCTTAGAAGTTATCTTTTAATATCCCCTCACTGAAAGCTCTTCACTCATACGTCCTAAGGAATACCCATTTCGACAAGCCTGCTCAGCCAGTGTGATATAAATGCATTAATAGTAAAAAAATAGTCTAACATTTTTTATGTAATACTTGATTCACAGGCATACAAAAACTTCTATATCTTTATATGGATTTTGGCTATATGGAACTACTTTAGATTAACAATGCGTATCAGTTATGAGCTAATAGTCTAACATCTTTGATGTAATACTTGATTCACAGGCATACAAAAACGTCTACATCTTTATATGGATTTTGGCTATATGGAACTACTTTAGATTAACAATGCGTATCAGTTATGAGCTACCAACAGGTTTATCACTCTCTAGCTTCTAACTGGACCAATGCAAATTTACCTTGTGCCATAAGAAAGAACAATTCAGATCATTCTCTCAAACAAACATGACATTTCTTCTATTATAAATTGAATGTCGTATGCTACCAATCAAAAAAAAAGAAATTAATAATTGTATACTGGAATTTTGTCTAGTGTAAACTCTAATTTCACTTTTACTAGCTGATCCTCCCATGATAGCCGAAGTAAATTTAAAAGTCAACAGGTGGCCAATAGTACATTCCATATAAAGAACCTTAAAGCAGCAACTTGCACTCAGACATTGGCCCTGTAAATATTCAACATTCAGATTTCTGAGCACATTAGTCGCCTGCCAAGAACCTATAGTTCCAAATTTACTCCCAGAAAGGACAATAAAATTAAGGTACTTAAACCTCCGGTAGCTAAAATAATTATTATCATTGTACACTGCAATAACCAAAAGATATTGGTAATTGGTATATACCGAATAACAATTAGGCATAATTGTATTAGATAATTACTAATGTCATTTCCAATTTGATGTTTAATTAAAATGGGCAAAATTTTAAAATTTAATTTAAAATTCCAATTTGACCTTAAAATTTAATGAGACAAAAAGACATTTCGTTGCTTTGCATTTTCTGATATTCTATGCACTGGACTTAGATTGCAGTCAGTTCTATAAGATATCCTAAACTGAAGGCACATCCTTTCCCGTAATTCCTACAATAATATAAGCTGCAATTGAAACAAATAGAGATCAACCACCAGTCGCACAAAGATAAAAATTTAAATTGGACTAAAAACTAGAAGTCTAAGTCTTCGAATGCCAATATACTTAAGAAGTCAAGTTTAGGCAAATGTATAATTTCCTTAGAAATGGAGAAATTGAAAAAGCAATCTAGGGATTCAGAAGAATACCCACATATTTTCTTGAGTAGTTCGAAATACCCAGGTCGATCATTAAGAAAACAAGGACAAAGCACAGAATATCCCTGATTTCCAGAACCTTATTAATTCATCAACTACTGCAGACCATCAATAACTAACTGATAGGATTTGTCAAAGAAATTAATTTCCAACTATGGTCTAACTTTTGATGGAAGTTACATATTATGAAAATCGTAATACATGCAAAAGATAGAATATGCATTCAAGTTGAAGAGAGACTATGTGAACTCACATATATAGAAGTTTTGTGCAACATGTAGGTCCGTTGAATAATGAAGTTTGCAATATCAAGAGCACAGACAGTTTGCAAATCCATATCGAACACCAAATTTATTACTCTATCATCCAGCTTCTTCTTCTCCACCTCCTCCCTCTCTAAATAATTTTTATCATTTTTCTTATGAACCTTGAGCATATTAATTTGTCCAGAAATAATTTCACCAGCCAAATGCTTTTCACTCACTGGGAGCAAACAGATCCATGCTCCATATATAAGATCAGAGCTTCCAGTGGAAAGGACAAGTTCACTTTCCCCTGCCAAAATCTCCATCACCGTATACTCTGTGAAGATACCAAAATGGAGAAACGTTCCTGATCATACACTCTCTACTGGCTTATTTGAATTTTATTGGCACCATATACCAAGTGCAAATCGATTGGCCTGTACAATGCATCTTTCACCCATTGTTATGCCCAATCAATGCGTTTTCAGACTTCGAATGACATATAAAGCATATCATGACAGTGCCCATCATGCTTCTGGTTGGAGGTAGTCTGAACTTGAAACTCGGATGAAGAATGCTCAAAAATTTGCTGGAAATATGGGTGGATATCTAGGTTGCTGGTTTGCAAATTTACCTCCTTAGATAAGTGTGTAGCTTGTAGCTGCTTGTTCCCGATAAATTTTTGCAAATAAATTTAAAAAAAATTGTTAAAAACCCTCTGGAATAAACTCGATAAACACTTCAACCCCACCCCAAAACTATCTCATTACTTTTTATTAAAAACCAACTTTTATAACTAAAAATCCCCCAACCTAAAAAAAAAAAAATTGGACCCTTTTACCCCTCTTCTTTTTTCCCTTTAAATCACATTTGTTATTTTTCTTTTTTCTTACCGTATTTCTTATGCCCCTTTGCCCCTGCGATAGAACGTCCTGCAACCTGCTCCTTCATCAGCCCCGTTTCTTCCGCCCCTTTGCCCCTGCATTTTTTTCTCCTGTGAACTGCTCCTCATTAGCCCCATTTTTACCCCCTTTTCCTACGGTTTTTACCCTATTCTTATGCCCCTTTGCCCCGTGCATTTTTACCCCCTTTTGCCCGTGGGTTGATTACCCTACGCACCCCTGCAATCAAACTCGAGGTCTCCTTCTCTTCACTCTTCGAACTCGAGCTCTCCCTCTCTTCATTCTTCAATGCCCTACAAAAGATTTGAGCAAGGAAGGCCCCACACTCTTCAAAAGTGACTCTTCAAAGGTGAGTTCTTGCCTCCTTCTTTTCCTACAAGGCCAACTATGATCTATTTTTTATTCTCTCTCTACTTTCTCTTTAAAGCCAAAGCTTTACTCCTCTCTCAATCTCTCTTTTAGGAGGGCCCCACTCTCTCACTCTCTATCAAAGTATCACAATTTTTTTTCTCTCTCTACAAGGTCCCACAACATTGTCTACTATCTCTACGAATATTTTTCTGTCCCCCACATAGGTCCCACGAATTTTTACGAAGGTCCCACAGAGTACACATCACATCACAGGTTGAGCTCGATTTTTTTAAGACCAATAATAGTCAATTAAATATTTAAAAACAATTTTTTGAATGTTGTTTATGTTGTAACTTCAACTTTGTGGTTAAAGCTTGGCATGAAAATATTTTCCTTAATCATATGAATTAACTTCAATTTTGAGAGTGCTATTTATGTTGTAAGTTATATTTATGTTGTTTTTTACCAAAAGGTGGATGTAAATGTATCCCCTAAAATTTGTTGTTGGTTTTTTTTTTAGCCGCATTGGCTGTATTTAAATTTTCATTGACAAATGAAAGAATGGATAGGTGATTCTTAAGATGTATTGACTTTTTTACTCTTAATTTGTTATGATAAATGCAAACAAAACTCAAGTGTATGCAGTAAAAGAATAGATAGGTAATTTGTTTTTGGTTATGAATTTTGTCATTTATCATTTTGCATTGTCTGTATTTTTGCTAGGGTAAGTCACTTGGAACTTGAATTCAATTATTTGGTTCTGGTTTCAAAGATGTAGTATTTGTTTATTGCTACGTACACCACAAAAATGGTTGCTTATTCCTGTCTAATTTTATCCACACCAAATTGGTTACAATATAAGTTCCTATTTTCTAGTTTTGTCAAAGGTATTGTTGAATATTTAGTAATTTTGGTGTTTGTCTTTTCAATTTCTAATGTCGCTTTAGGCATCATTGAAAAAGTAACGAAAAAGTGCTCTATTTTGGTGTTTTGTCTCTTCTTTTCAAAGAAGATTCAGAGAGCTTCTGGTTCATTACCATCTTAAATCAATGGCTCTCTTCCAATTTATGAAATTAAGTACCCTATTGCTAACAATCGATATTGCCCTTGATATCTTGTTATGTTGTTATACATTATCTAGAATATCTAGATTAATTTCCCCAACATCTATTTATTGTAGAATTTCTTAGTAAATCTCTTAAAGAATTTGCAGAGTTATTGTTAAAATAGAATTTGTTATTAAAAAACAATAAGCATATGGCAAGTTCAAGGCTAGTTTTTAAGATGTTGTATATGTTAGTTACTATAAATATTGTGCAGGACAGAAGAAAATGGGTGATAGCATATTAATTTATTGCATTTTCGGTGGAGAACTCCGAACAAGTGTCGAAGGGACTTTAGATTATATTGGTGGTGATGCATTTACCTTTTTCGCTGACTGTAGAACTAAGTTAGATGACATGCAAAAATATGTAGTAGAGCGTTTCTCACTTGACATGCACTTGATATCACTGAGGTATTTTGTCTCGAGAAATAAGAGATTTATGGTGAACCTATTCATTAACGAAGATATTGTTAGGATGTTGAACGCCCATGAAGGGGAGAATGAAGTGTTCGTCTATATATTTCACGGGAGTGAACGTAGAGGTGGAAGTACGTCGCATAATACTATGGCAGTCGAAGATGTTAGACCCCCACAACCCTCTAATGTTTTAGTCTTCGGGTCTGAACAAAGTAATGTACCAAGGTTTCTTAGCACATAGGAGGATGCACTTATTGGGGTAGGGCAATAGTTTGAAACTTTGGAAGATTTCCATAAAGCGCTTAGTAAGTTTGGTATAGCAAACCATTTCGCATACTGTCTCGTTAAAAACGAGGGGTATTGCATAAGGGCAAAATGCAAGGGCGATAGATGCAATTAGGAGATATATGCTGCAAAGCTTGGCATGACGAATGTTTTTAGAATCCAAACACAGAAAAAAGATCACTCATGCAATATTGGGACAAGCAATGATGTCTAGAGAAGAACGTCACGAAAATTTGTTGCATCCTTAATCAAGGATAAATTAAGTGACACTGCGCATTATAAGGCTAAAGATATCATGAGTGATTTGTCATGAGATTACGGGTTAGAAGTACCTTATTGGAAGGCTTTGAGAGGAAAAGAAACGGCCATTAAAGATATACATGGTTCGCAAAAGAAGGCATACAACCAGTTACCAGTATATCTCAACCGTATGATGGAGACGAATTCTGATAGTTATGCTACAGGACAAGTATGGTCGGGAGGTAGATTTCGTCGATTATTCTTGAGCATTTATGGGTCCATACATGGTTTTAAAAATAGATGTCGTTCACTTATATTTTTCGATTGGATATCACTGAAGGCATGATACCTTGGGACTCTACTTGCTGTCAATTCCCTCGATGGGGATGGACAAATGTTTCTCGTTGCATTTGCAATTGTGGATGCCGAAAGTACAGATAAGTGGTTATGGTTTATAGAATCTCTAAAGATTACTATTTGGACGGATCATGAAATCACTTTTTTATTAGATAGACACCCTGGTCTAGTGGATACTGTCTGTCAAGTTTTTGAGAATGCTCATCATGCTCTCTGTGAGCGTCATTTAGTGAAGAATTTAAAGAAGTAAGTAAAACACATACCTAATGATGTTAAGAAAGCAGTTGTATGTGCCTTTATTGGAGCATGTAGAGCATATAGATAGCAAGGGTATTTTGATAAGATGATGAAAATTCGATCACTTTCGAAAGACGCATTCCAATGGTTCATGAAAGCATCACCAAACTGTTGGGTCCATCACAATTCAGGGGTAAACAATATGACCAAGTAACAACTAATGTGGTTGAGTCATATAACAAGTCGATTTTAGAAGCGCAAGATATGCCAATTCTCCAGTGTGTTGACTTGATTAGGAGACAAATCATGGAACTAATGGCCACTCGCAGCTTGAATGTTGAAACCTGGACTACAACACTTACCCCGAAAGCTCAAAATGAACTAAGAAATATCATAACGCAATCCCTTTCTGTGAGGGTCATGGTGGCATCAAATGGAGCAGTGTATGAAGCAAGGGGTGATCGCATGAATTATACAATAAATCTTATTGCGAGAATGTGAATGCCGGGGTTGGCAAATAATAGGTTTGCCTTGTAAGCATGCTTGTAAAGGACTACAAGTAATAAATAGAGATCTTGTTGACCATTGTGACGAATATTTCACAGTTGCAAATTCCGTGAAATATATTCCATACCTATCATTTTAGTTTCCTTGATCGACTTGTTTGGGCATAGTTTACATGGACAGCTACCTTCAGAGGGAGAAAGCGTGCTTCCACCTTACTCAAGGCGCCCCTCTAGACGACCTAAAAAGAAGCGCATCCAGTCCCAAGAAGTACATGTGCGACTTATTCATTGTAGTCGGTGCAAGAGAACTGGTCTTAACAGGGCAACAGGTAAAGCACCCACTTGAGGGAATGTATTTATCTATCTTTTCCTTTTATATTTAATTTGTAACACCCACTTGTTGGAAAAGCAGTGTTGTTTTGATTTGAATTTAGTGCATCTTTTTTTTTTTTGGTTGTTCTGTCAATGTTGTTTGATTTGAATTTAGGTTGTTCTGTCAATGTTGTTTGATTTGAATTTAGTGTAAGACCCACTTGAATGCTAGTTGTAAACCGGAAGACTTCATAAAAGAGTTGTGTATTGGATGCGTTGCAAAAGTGTTTCTTTCAATGACTAAGGGAAATGAGTGAGAGACCCTTCAATTTGGAACCTCTATGTAGTTGTTTGAGACAAGCATTTTTAAGTGAGTTTTCCGAATGTTTTTGATATATTTATGAGTGACATTGACGAACTATCGATAGTTGGCTTAATTTTTTTTCTGACCAAGGATGTTGTTACTGTATTAATTTATCGGTTATAAAACATGTTGTCCTGATCATTTCTTTTTCACTTGCAGTTGTACAAAATATGAACATTTCAAATTGGTATTGTTTTTTAATTAACTTAGTCATAAATATACGAGACAAGTTTTTAATTGAAGAGTAGCAATTTGTATTGACTTACATGATAAAATTGGTATTGTGGATTTATGCACTTTTGGGGCACATATATCTATGTTTGTTTCTTACATTATTCTCGTTTTTGTTAGTACATATATTATCCTCTTTTTTCCCATTCATATGGACATATTCTTTTAATTGATATGCACATATAAAACTTTGATAATATAAATAGATTTAGCGATGCAAGACCCATAAAAGTCAAGAGGAACAGGGGGGCCATCAATTTCGTCCGAGCACATGGTAAAGGTACAATAGTCTATTTACTTTACTTCATGATATACATAAATTAGGTATTTTTTATATTGCTAATAGCTGTTGTCACTTTTTATTGTGATGTTTGTTTCAGAAGAAACAAAATTTTCGTACTAATGAATCAACTAAGACCCTAGGTAAATGGGAGCTAAATCCACGAGTACTACCTTTGGATGAAAAGATGAAATTGAACTCCTTGATAGACATTGGGGTCTCCCATATCGTCTGCAGTCTATTGAAGGCCTTTATACGGATATGGTGTAAGGTGACAAACACCGCACACTTATTGTTGGTGAGATGACTCCAACCTTGTATGATATATGGTACATATTAAGGATACCTGTGACAGGAGAACCTGTAACAAGTATCAGACCTGTAGATTACAAGGCTTTCATCATGGAGTATTTAGGAAATTGCCCTAAAGGCGATAAGTTAAGTCATCTTACACATACTTGGTTGAGGACGAAATTTGGGCAATTACCAAAGAAGCCGACCAAATTAAAAATGCTTCAATACACTACGGCTTATCTCCTTTATTTAGTCGATACAACTATCTTTGCTGACGCATCTCAAGGGTCCACACTTACAAGTTACCTAAAACTATTTCAAGATCTTAATGAGACAGAGAAGTACGCATGAGGAGCAGTAGCACTTGCCTTTTTGTATCATTCATTATGTAAGGTCGTGGATAGGGATACGCATTTTAGTGGATCAGTAACACTACTACAGGTAATTTTCACTAAAATTTATCAATATTTAGATATTTGCAGTCTTTTTGGCTTCAAACTAATACTTATAGTTTTTTTTGTGCAGTGTTGGATCTATGAGCATTTCCCAGCTTTAGGCATCAAACCTATTACTATCATCATAGAAATGCCTAGAGCTTGCAAGTGGAAGAAACAACCACGCTGCAAACACCCATTAACAGCGTTTGATGACATTTCAATAGATACGGTTAGTGTTATGTTTGTCTTTTAAGTGTTAGTGTTATGTTTTTTATGACATCTCACTAGACAGCGTTCAATGCAAAGACCCATTAACGATGTTGTGTTATATTATTGTTGTAGGTAAATTGGCAATCATATGAGGACTTCAACCCACTAGATACACTTTGTAAGGAAAGCACAGTGTGTCGATCATATCATCAGTTTTCACAATGCAGAGTACTATATGTCGGATCATATATTGCGGCAATTTGGGAAGATGGAAGTGATTCCTGCTGGGCCACCCTAGTGGGAGAGGAGAGAGAAAGTCAGTCTTTACCCCACCAGTTGGATTGACGAGTTGGCTAGCGAGATAAGCGACAGGCGGTAAAGAAAACGCAATATTGTCAAGGCAACTCCGGATAAATATGGTGGAATGCCTACCACTGGTGGAATGCCTATCACAGATTATATGGCCTGGTACAGCATGTTCAGTCATATCTATGAAAGTACTCCCATGTGCCCCCCTACAGTCGCAATCAAATATACCCCCCCCTCGCAGGCCATGATGACAAGAGGAAGCTGGTATGTTTTGTTTTTTAGCACCTATATTGTTTTTTACTTAAAGTAATTGTATATTCAAATCAGTTATTTATATTATTTTTTATTGTCTACTTGCAGCGATTAACTTGTATAGGGACGGTACAAGCTGCACTTCATGCTGAAGTATTAGCAGGGGAATCCATAAATTTTGTACTGGCGGCCCACAATTTGTTATTGCAACACACTCCTGTAGAGAATGCCGATAAAATTGTGGAGGGAGATGATGGAAGCGAGGGTAAGGATAGAGATGACGAAAGAAAAAATGAGGAGGAAGGTAGTGGAGATGAGGAAAGCAAAACTGCGGAGGAAAATGGTGGAGATGAGGAAAGAGAGACTGAGGAAATAGAGAATGAGACTGATGAGGAAAATGAGAGGAGAACAAAGAGAGTAGAAATGACAAGGGCGAGGGTATTGCAAGTTGGCCTAAAAAATGGTTGAGGCCAAGAAAGTGAATGTCATGTATTTTTCATTTTGACATATATTTTTTAGATGATACCTGAAAATGCAAATTGAAAAGGTTATGAGCCTTTTTTTGAGACATTTGTTAAGTTATTTTTGTACAATTGAAGCTACTCTATCATAGTAGCCAGTTAATGAAATGTTCATTTTTTTTCTTAGACATATGTTGAGAAAATATGGTACTTGAACTTCTTCTCATTCTCTTTCTACTTCTCCTACTTGTCTTGTCTTCTTTCTTCCAATTTACAGCAAGTTATCCATGGTGTTTTATTTATTCAAAGTCCATTGCTGTATATGTTACATAACTCATTTTCTACTCCATCTTTTGAACTTCTGCTCATAATCAAACACATGAATTTTCTAGTGGTATATTTTTGTTGACTGTTTCTAATTTCTCCATTATCGAGTGACCAGCAATCTCACTCTGTCAGATGTGAACTGAGTCATATCAAGTAAACATTTGTTATTTCTTGATTTTATATCGGGGGAATCTAGAATATCAAATGTTGTGCCTGAAGCTAAATGTTTATAGCATCAGTAACAGTTGAGACAAGTTTATCTGGCCTTGAGTGTATTTCAAGGTATTCTATATATCTTATTATAGGTATTCCTATAGGTCTTCCTTTATGGACCTTGGATGTATCTTTAAAGAGCATCAATCATCATATATGGAATCGAGTTTTGACAAAGCCATTTGCTTTGGTTGTCATTTATTGAGGATGATACTGTAAATGTTGTCATCTGCTTGAGAATGAGATCCCTATCTAATCAAGATACCAACCAGAGATTATTTGCTTTGATGAGATTTTTAGGCACATTAGGAGTTGAAGCAGTTGGACTTTGGATATTCTCTATGGAGCGAAGTCCACACTCCCTTATTTTATCAGTAGGTGCAAAACTTGTGGAAGTCACGCTAATAGGTGTAAAACTTGTGCATCATTTATTATATAATAATCAAAAGTGTTATTTAATATATAATATAATACAAAATATACTTCTTGGGATTCAAACTCAGTACTTCTTTACAGTAAAAAGTAAGTTCTATTGCTATACAGCAATGTGGCACAAAAGCTCACCCCGGCACTTACAAAACCCACTCCAACACTTCATGAAGGCGCTCTGGCACTTCAATAACACATACCGGCACTCCACTAAGAGCGTTCCAGCAATTATGAAACGTGCTCTGGAGATTTGTTTCCTGGACTAATGTCTACTCCGGCATACGCACAAGGCCAATTCAGCGATTTGGTTCTTGGAATTTTGGGCACCCCAACAACCGCAGCATGGCAATCCGACGATTGGGTTCCTTGACTTTTGTGCACTCCGGCACACGCAACATAGCAATCCAATGATTTGGTTCCTAGAATTTTAGGAACTCCAGCACCTGCAGCATGGCAATTTGGCAATTTGGTTCCTGGACTTTTGTGCACTCCGGCACACGCAACATAGCAATCCAGTGATTTGGTTCCTGGAAGTTTGAGAACTCCGGCATCTACAGCATGGCAATCCGGTGATTTGGTTCTGGACTTATGTGCACTCCGGCACACGCAACATGGCAATCTGGTGATTTGGTTCATGGACTCAAGGCACTCCGGTAGAGTCATGCGTCAATCCAGCATTTGTCGGCACTCTGACACTGTCACCATTACAGTCCGGCTATTTACTTCCTGGGCTTATTGACACTCTGGCACACCTACTATCTCAGTCCGGTGATTTGCTTCCCGTGCTTATGAGCTCTTCGGCACACTCAACATCTCAATCCGGTAATTTTCTTCCTCTTTTCATGGTACCCCAGCACAATCATGCGGCAGTCCGATGATCTCCTTACTAGCTTCATCAGCACTCTAGCATTGTTACCACGACAATTTGGCGATTCCTTTCCAGGAGTCATGGCACTCCAGCAAGGTGACTTGGCAGTCCAGTGATATTTTTGGATTCATTGCCACTCCGGTAGTCTAACCATGGCAATTCAGCAATTTGGTGGATGGACTTATGGCCGTCCGACATTGTCACACATTAGTCTGGCGATGTTTATTCTGGCAAAGTTCAGTCTGGCTTTAGTTATGAGCAATCTAAACACATCATCGAACAGTCTGGCTTTTCATTATTATAGTCTGGTGTTTATTTGCTGAGATCATGATGTTAGGTAGCATCAGTCCGGTGATTTTCTCGATCAGTCCGGCTATTTTAGGCTGCTCTCCGGTGGTTTCTTTATTGAGTAGGCTGTCCGACAATTCACTATCTGGGTTCGACGTTTTGTGGTTAAATCAGACCAACTTATGTGGTTAGTCCTGCAAATGAGTACCGTGGTCCGATGAATGTAATTTTTCATAGCAGCGTTCGTACGGTGAAGGTACAGATAAGGGTAGTTTGGTCACAAAACTTACAACTTTTTAGGTTTGGGGGGTTTTAGTTATCAAAGTTGGTTTTCAATAAAAAGTAGTGAGAATATTTTGGGGTGGGGGTAGGTGTCTATAGAGTGTATTTTAGGGGATTTCTAGCAATTTTCCCAATAAAATATTTAAAACCTTAACAAATAAAAAAGGGGAAAGATTTCTATGTTCCTCCTACAATATAAAAGTTCTATCCTCCTCCTTATCCATCCGTCCACTTTTGAATGGACGGCTAAGATTGCCCCAATCACAATGTCACGTCTCTACATTGTTTTATTTTTAAATTTTTTCTATAAATTATTTTGATACCAAATTTTAGACATCCATTCCTCTATTAAACTCGCACTAACAAAAATATAAAAATATATTTTCAATAAAATAAAATGATCAAAATACCCCTAATAGATTCAACGGTTATTTTGGTCATTATTTTTTATCAAAAAATTATTGTTAATATTTGTTATAGGTGTGTCCCAATGAGAAGATGGCATGTATCAAATTTTATATAAAGAAAAATTTTATTAAAAAAACTAAACATAAAATACTTTGAGACGTCAAACGGTGAGTGGTTCTCTTGATAAAAAATGGACGGCTGGATGGTAGGGGGAGGGCAGAATTTCTATATTGTAGGGGGAACATAGAAAGCCTTCCCATAAAAAATATAACAAAACTATATGGGAGTTTCCAAAAAATCAATGCATGAGATGTGGCTCAAAGTGATTTATATTCGTAATATTGTAATTTGTAAACTCCAAAAGTACTGCCACAATTTTCAAGGAGAACAACAATTTTGAAATGTTAAAGTTTCTAGTGGCTGAAAACTGAACAATTGAAACAAATATGTAACTAAAACAAGATTGCTTCACTATAGGGCATTTAGAGGCCTTTGAGTACCTAGAAATCTATTACATGATGATAGATTACAAGGAAATATGATATTTTCACTGTTTGGGTGCACTTTAATAGTAAGGAAATGGAAAGAGATTAGCCGAGATTTCTCCAAAAATCACAAAACCGATTAAGCTTGGTGATGGGTGAAATCTTTCGGAAATCTTTTGAACGTCTCTTTGCCCTATCCCCATTTAAAAAATGTCAACCCATCATTTTCCCTTTCTCAAACTCGAGTAACTTATGGGAACTCTTTTCCACACATCTCTCTCTACCCTATCCCCCGCAAAAAAAAAATGCCAATCCACCATTTTCCCTCTCTCATATCCATGTGAGGAACTTACCAAAAACTCTTCACTGGTAAGCCCTACTCTCTTTCTTCTTGATCCATAATCCTACTCTCTCTCTCTTTGAGCCATAATCTTACTCTCTCTCTCTTCTTGAGCCATAATAATTCGTTTGCATAGGTCTTCCCCCCCTCTCTCTCTTGAGCCTAATAACTAGTTGGCATAAGATGCTCTCTCACTCTCTAAGCCTGCCCTCTCTCTCTCCCACCCAAATAAATGATTTGCATAAAGTTCTCCCTCTCTCTTTAACCAGTTATTTTGGTGTAGATAAGCCATATGTCTTTAGTCTCCTCCAATGCCTCAAAAATTTCTATTGTAATTACCAAACCTTTTAGTTTACTAATCAAACTTCTTTCCATTTTTTAACTTGTACCATAAAGACTTTGAATTTGGTATCACAAACTTTTTGCTTATTTGAAATTATATAGAGACATTTGAAAGACTTCTATAAAAAATAAATAAAAATAAGGCTTATCACAATAAAAATATGTTATTCCAATGATTTATCATGTTAGAAGACATGTGATTCCATGTAAGTGCCAAAGGCATGCAAAATAAATAGGAAATGGTGTAATGATGACTTTAGAATTGTACAAGTTATTATTAAAATAAAAATTTGGAATGGTGATAATGTTATTATTAGAAAATATTTTTGGAATAGTATGATGATGACTTTAATTCCGTATTTCAGTGGAATTTTATGACAAAAAAGAAAGAAATGATAGTTTATAGGCAAGTGGTAATGCATTTCCCATATTTCTTCCGGACATAGCCAAATAGTAGAAATGTATTTCCTAAGTTGCATCTAAATATTACCCAAATAGTAACAATCCATTTGCAGATAATGTATTATGCAGTAATGTATTACACCAGTAATATATTTCATAGACAATATATTTTCAGGTATCCAAACGACCCCTTAAGGTCATCAACAAATCAGAAAAATATAACTAGTTCAAGATTGGATCGTTGTAGAGCATTTAAGGTCATCACAAAAGCAGAAGAAAGAACTAATACAAAATCGCCTAGTTATTGAGCATATATGGTCATCACAAGGGCATAAAAAGTTCATTTTATCATTGCACACAAACTAGATCATAGACACTTCTGATCGAGAACAATATCCATACATTGATCTTTTAATTAAGCATGTCAGTCTAGAGAGTTTTGTTATAGGTCCAAGCCGGGTAACAAAAGTAAGCTGATAACCCAACCTGGTTTGCACCTCAAAGTGACATATCACCCAAACTGCTATGTGTCAAGTTTCGATGTTATTTGTTATTCTACCGTTGGTCTATTGTAAGTCTCTCCCAAATCCACCCAATTGCCCGCAAACTAATTCATAGGCACTTCTGATTGAGAACGATGA